CTGGACCGGACAGGAACATGAGCACCATGCAGGCTGGCAGGGCTAGCTCACGTCAGCAAAGCACAGGTAGACGCCAGCACTTACCACACTTCCCCTCAATGAGATCCACATAGTACAGGGCTGACCTGGAACCACCAGAAGACACTCAGCTTCCAGGCCAGCCTGAGCCGCCAGGCCCCGCCTCGCCCATCTCCTCACCTGCGATTGGTGCAGAAGCGGACCCCCAGCCGGAAGGGCTCATGCCACCAGCCCACGAACACCACACCCGTGTCTCCAGGAGCCCAGAATGCCTGTGAATGAGACCACAGGGCAGGTATGAGCAGAGGGCAGTGGCTCAGGCAGGGCCCCTCGACTCCAGGAGCATGTGGGCAGAGTCAGTGCTCACCTGTCCAGGGGACACATTCTCTGGGACCCCCTCAAGCACGGAGATGTTGCTGCTCTCAATGTCCAGCACACATAGCACCGGAGTGCTTTTGGAAGCCATGTTTTCTCCCCAGTCTTCATAAAAGACAAACTGGTCCCCCTGAGAACACAAGATACTCACTCGATGCCCAGCCCGCCTTGTGAGAGCCCGCCCTGCCCGCCAGAAGCCAGCGCCTCCCGTCTGACAGGCGCACCGTGGGCAGGGGGCGCCAAGCCCCAGGGCTGCCCTGCAGGGCTTTCATGGACGGGCCTCAGCCCGGAGCACCTTGATGGCCTCGTCTGGCTTCTTCGGCCTAGCCATCTCTTCATCACTGCCACTGACGTCCAAGGCTTTGGTCTGAAAGAAGGACTCAGCCTTGGGGCGCTTCTTCTCTGCCACATACAACAAGTGTGTCTCCGAGTGTGACCAGGACAGGCAGCCAAAGCAGCCTAGGTGAGGGAGGGCCAATCAGGGAGAGCCCTGGGCTACAGCTGCCCCTTCTGTCCACCCTGCCTGCTCACCAGCCAGCTGCCTCACCGTCGTCATACACAGGCCCATGTTTCTCCAGCGCCGACAGGTTGAAGCTCTTGAGCTTCCGGTTCTTCTCCCAGACCTGAGGACATCTGGGCATCAGGCTGGCTGCCCCCCGACAGAGCCTTACGTGTAGGCTGAGCCCCAGTAGCCCGCCACCTGGTCCCCTGCAGACACACCTCCAGGAACTGCTTCTCCTCACCCAGGCCTGCACTTGCAGCCTTGCGCAGCACGGCCTTCATGGCACCTGAAGGTGACTCCCTGCTCAGCAGTCTGAGGAGGACACGGTAGAGCAGTTCGGGATCGGCTCTCACCCAGTGACCACCCCATCCTGTCCTCTAGACTTTGGCTCTGCATCCACACCTACAGCCCATCTAGCCCCATGTGGCAGCTAACCTTGCTTCTCCTCCCTGGGGCACGGCTCTACTCCCCCCCAGCCTCCCGTGGACTCTACTCCAGGCCCAAGTCTGGGGCAAACTGCCAGTGCCTATCAGGCCATGTCTCCAGAGACTGCATGAGCTCCCACGGGGCCACGGCCTAGCTCCCAGCCTCCCTTTGGAACCCTACCTACACACGGAGCCCAGAGTGGGCATTCATAAAAGCCTTGCCATAGCCTTGTCCACATCCACAAGCTTCTTCCCTCACACTTACTCCCCCCGAGTCTCCACACTGTTGCCTGCAGGCCCTGCAAACACCACGGAGTCCCCATCATGGAACACCAGGTATTGGCGGCAGAATCGGATGTTTTCCATGCGTTCCAGGTCCCTCTGGGTCCACTCTGTGAGGAGAGGCAGCAGCCTGCTCAACCTGACCAGTTCCTGCACAGGCTTCCCCCAACCCCCAGCCTGCCTCCTTCAATCTGTCTCCAGGTATTCTGGGGGCCAGATGGACACACTGAGCCACAACCCAAACCCAGGCCTCCAGAGCCCCAGCAGAGGACGGCCTCTAGGAGAGGAACCGCTACCGTTCCCCGTACCTACCCAGAAACATGAGGGCGCCCTGCCTGGCACAGCTGAGACAAGGTAATGGGAATGTGTCCCACAAGGCCCACACCCTGCACCCGGGTCTGAATTCTACTCCCACACCTTCAGCTCATGTACTCATGGGTACCGTCCCATAACGCCCAGACAGACCCCCACCTGTGTGCACTGGCCTCTGCGGCGCGCACCCTTCCACCCTGCACCCTCCGAGCCCAGTCTTCCTCCACACACACGTGTGCACTGTCAAGCAGGCCCCCTCCTCTCCGCCCGATTGGAACCGCCACCCGATTCCCCTTCATACACACACCTGTGTGCACCGTCCGGTAGCGGCCCCCGTACTGCGTCGTGACCTCCGGGCCCAGGCAGGCGGCGCTCAGCGAGGGCTGGCGGCTAAGGCCCCGGTACAGCGCCGCCGCCTCCTCGGGCTCGTTCAGCAGCACCTGCGCGGGGGACACACCAGGGTCAGGCCAGGCCCGGGCTGCAAGGACCACGGGAACCGCGGGCCGAGCCCTCACCTGCCGCTCCATGGTCGCTGTCGGCCGCCGGGGCGGGGCGGGCCTTGCTTTGGCCCGGAAGTGAGGCTTCGGGGGGCGGAGCCCGGAGCAGCCCTTTGAAATCCGCTTGGCCTGGCCTGGGGGAGGGAGGGGAGGGGCTTCCGCTAAATGGGCGGAGACCGTTACCAGAGGGGCGTGGCCTCGGAGGTAAAGTGTAGGGCACCGGGAGAAGACCGGTAGTTTTGGATCCCGGGGGCGTCCTGCAGGGGAGAGCAGGGACTTTGAGGAGATGCGCAGGCCTTTTAGGGGCGCACTAGGCTAGTGAGATGCGGCGCGGGGGCCAAGCCGCAGGCCTGTTCCGGGAGGGGAAGGAGTGGGATCTGCGACGAGAGTGGTGGCACTATAGAGATGGAATACAGGGGAGGGTCTTCGGGCTGGGGCGAGGCGGGTGAGTGACGCCAGGGCCCCCAGTGAGAAAGCGGTGAGGCCTGAGTCGGGACACGACTGTGGGGCGGAAGAAGCTGCGCGGGGGCCGGGTGGGCCCTAAGCAGCGAGAGGGGCGGGGCTAAGCGGTTGGGGTCTGGAGCCAGAAACCGCGCGGAGGAGAGGGGCGAGCCGGAGCGCGTCCCAGGAATCTCCAGCCGCTCTGGGGCTCGCTGTTGCGTTCCTCCTGGTTCAGTACAGGGCAGACCTTCACCAGATGGCGTCAGGCCCTGACCTAGGTGGGGCTCGCAGGCAGATGGAAAGAGGACCGAGATCTGCCGGTGAGCGCGCAGAGCGTTGGGGTGCGGGGCAAAGGGCGGGTTGCTGAGCTCTAAGGGTGTTGCCTAGGGTTATCAGCTACCAGGCCAACCCCAAGAGCTATCTGTCCTCGCCTCTCTCACCCACCCTGCTCAGTGGCACCTTGCTGGGGATCCTGAGTGGAGTTTCTGCCTGCCTCCCCTCAGGCCTCAGCCCAAGACTGTGTACAGAGCCCGGTGGGGTCCGGCTCCACCCAGAACCAGAGAACTTCCTGTTGAAAGAAGAATCTGGGCAGGCAGGCTCCTTCACACTGGCACAGGACCGAGTGGGATATGATGGCAAAGGAGGGCAGCAGAGGTTGGACTAGCAGCATGTATGGCCCCCTTTTCCATATGCCCTGAGACTGGCTGGTCTTCCACACCTCAGGGCCCTGGCTCCCCGTGCCCAGCCTTGCCTTTGACTGAGACCCCACTTGCCTGGCCAGCAGCTTCCCTTTCCCCATGAGCCATTGGACTAGTTAAGTAAAAACAGCCCTCACTGTGTGAGTACCTAGCACGTGCAAGATGTGAAGGCCAGACTGGGAGTGGAGAGTGGCCCATACCTTTGATCTGGTGGGGAAGGTTGGAAACTGGGATGTTCATCGCAGTGTTATTTATAATAGGGAAGCTAGGGACATGGTGCCTGCCCTTCAGGGCACGTGCAGTGGTCTGGCTGTAAACCCCTGGTGCAGCTCTCTGGAGGCTGGGCATTGGAGCATGGCCACCTGCGTGCCTGGGATCAACATGTAGAAATAAATGGGCAGTGCTGCACCTTCTAACTTCTGTTTAAAGTGAAAAAATAGAAAAACACAAGCAGGAAAGACATGCATCAAGATACTAACTCAGGGGGGAAGGCCAGAGGCAAGGCTGACCCTGTTTTTGTTTATCTGTGTTTTAAAAATTATCTAACAGCCCTGGCTGGTATAGCTCAGTGGATTGAGCACGGGCCTGCAAACCAGAGGATTGTGGTTTGATTCCCAGTCAGGGCACATGCCTGGGTTGCAGGCCAGTTCCCAGCAAGGGGACTCATGAAAGGCAACCATACATAGATATTTCTCTCCCTCTCTCCTTCCCCTCTAAAGATTAAAAATAAAAATAAATAAATAAATAATAATTATTATCTAACAAACTCTGGGTTACTTAATTTTTTTAAACAAAACTATTTATTTATTTTTAGAGAGAGGGTAAGGGAAGGAGAGAGGGAGAGAAACATCACCATGCAAGAGATACATTGATAGGTTGCCTCTCACGCCCCCAACTGGGGACCCGCCTACAACCCAGGCATGTGCCCTGATTTCGCAGGCCCGCACTCATTTCAGAGCCACAACAGCCAGGGTGCAACCCTGCGTTACTTTAGAAAGGAGGTTATCCCATCCCTCCTGGGACGACTAGGGTCTGGCAGCCCCTGAGTTTAGGGGTTGGATTTAACACAGCGAGACAGACAGGTGTACGGCTTGTTGGCAGCACCAGGGGGCAGCACCTGCTCGCCTGTTTCCCAGAACCAGGAACCAGAACGCTGACAGCCAGACTGACCCGCCCAGGCCAAGGAGGCACCAGCCCTCAAAAGTTGGGGGTGACCTAAGGCTCCCTCTAAGGCCAAGCTTAGGACCTTTCCTGGGGCACCTGTGTGGGGACCCATGACTTTGGACAGCTTGGTGTGGACTGGGGTCCTGCTCTGCCAGCACATCTGCAACTTTGCCTTTTCTCTCTTTTCCCTTTAACTGTCAAGAGACCGGATTGTCACAAGTTTGGGGCTTTGTTCCTCTGGCTAAGCCTTCCCATTTCAGAAACCATCCCAGAGACAGTCTGCAAGTTGTTTATATCAAGTCCTTTTATTCTGATTCCACAGAATTACCTTGTCACAATACAGGGGGAGGGACACCGAAGTACCACGAGTTCTCACGGAGCACAGGAGGACGGCACACGTTTCACAAGGTCATGTGGAGGACTCGGGTCATTGCACTTACAACTGTAAACTTGTTTGTTTGACTTTGTACAGCACTCTTCCCCCCTCAAATAGAGAAGGAGAGAAGGAGAGAAAGGGGGGAGGGAAGGAGTGAGGGGAAAGCGGAAACAAGACGTGGAAGCCAGCAGAGGAAAGGCGCTGGGCAGCCCCCCGCAGGGCACTGCCCCCCGAGCGAGGAGCTGGTCTGAGCCCAGAGGCTGAGGAGGCAGACACGCACACAGACCCACTCACACACTTGTTCACATGCATACACACGATGTGTCGTGACTTCCATGGCTCTCGGGGGCCATGGCAGCAGGGCTGCAGATACCCAGGGAGACAGAGGTGACATCTCTGAGGAGTTTCAGTTGATCAGGCCTGTCACTCTGACCCTGACTGAGTCCACGATGACAAGTATTTACAAAATGGGGGGAGGAGGGCACAAGGCAGGCAGGGGCCCACAGGCCAGGACCATGCTGCCCCGGCAGAGGGCCTGCCTGGCAGACTCCCCACAGGCTCCCGAAGACAGGCCACTGTTGCTGTCACTGCTGCCTCAGCATAGGCCCCGAGACCACACTCCTCCCAAGGACTAAGCAGATGGTGGGGGTGAGCGGTGTCATTGAAGTGAGTGTACTGGGCCTTGGCTCAGGCAGAGAGGCAATGCCCTTGCTCACAACACGGGGTGAGGGGAGCAAGTAAGGAAAAGGCCTGACCTGCATCCCAGAGACCCCTTGCCTATTGGAGATGCACCTGACGCTCCCATACCCCAACACTGAATGCTGGTCCCTTAGCCTCTGGCTGCAGTGTCCCTGAGTCACAGCTGCATCCACACGAGGGCTAGGACACCCTTGGCCCAGAGGCCTGCACCAAGCACCTTCACAAAGGAGTGTTGGGTTCAGACGTATACTTTGGGTGTGCTGGGAGGTGGGGGAGTGATGCACGTCAGAAATTTCAAAACCAGAGGGACATTTGCTGAGAAGTGAGTATTTTGGAGCCTGGGGCTAGGGCTGATGGAGGCTGACCTGCAGTCACCTCCTCCCTGTCTTCCTCACTCTGTATCCCATTCCCTGGCTTTCAGTGGGAAGGATTACTGCCTGGGGCCCCCACATACCCAGCCTCCAGATGCCTCCCCATGCAGACCTGGCCCTGGGTGGCGACCTTCCTCCACCCTTGCTCAGATAGCCTCATATAGCCCAGGCCTGAGGCAGGTATTCCCAAATCCTGGAGGACCAGGGTCTCAGGCCCAACACAGGTTGACAGCCTCCTGTCTCACACAAAGCTGCCAGCGGAGTGCCAGGGTCCCTCTCTGAAGGGCTGTGTAGGCCTTACAGGACAGCAAGAAAATAAGGCCCCTGAAAAATGCACGGTGCAAACCAGAGCACTGTGGAGCAGCGCCAGGCCTTGGGTCAGGCAGGACTGCCTCCCTCCCTCCTGGCTCGGTCGTAGAGAGGCTGCTGAGCAGCAGAACACTGGGGCTTTGAGATGGGGGTGCGCAGGGAGTTCTCTGACCCTGGGGACAGAGGCAGAGGGAGCCACAACAGGACTTTCTCTAAGTTTCGCTACTGGGAAGCCTCCCCAGAAATTCAGTTTGAAGCCACTGCCTATATGAACACCCGCTCTGGTCCAAGATGACATTTTAGCTGTCCTCACCACAAGTGCCAGATGTCTAGTTCTTCCCAAGCACCTTTTGACCCCCTGGAGCCATGTCTTGGCTCACAGACTTTTGAGCCTTCTAGCCACAGAGCAGAGGCATGGAGTGCAGTCAGGAGCTGCAGGCCCCAGGGCATGGCACGGCCCTGCCCGTGGCCAGTCTGTCCACAAATGAGGCCCAGCTCTGCCCTTGAGCCATGTGCCACTGCTTTTGGGACAGCCAGGTACCCCTGGGCCAAGGCTGGCATAAGAGAGGGAGTGCTCTACAGATGAAAACCTTCGGAATGTCACAGCAAACCTGAATGCTCACACACACATCCTGTGCAGGCCTCACCAGCACGTCCACTCCAGAGACTCCTTGTCACCTGCCATCGTGGTCAGAGAAACCTGCAGGGCGTGTGGGGCCTCGCACCGCCTGCCGCAGCCTGGCATGCTCAGGCGACAATCCTGGCAGGTTCTTACTAGCTTGTGCAGAAGTCAGCTAGAAGCGCTCCTGAAGGAGAGGTTTTGAGGCAAAAAGAACTCCAAGCAAGAGGGTCGAGCATTTAAAATGGATGAAGTCGTGCAAAGAGGCTGCGAGCCGTGCATGCTCCACTGCGGGACAGGCGGTGACTCGCCCAGCGTTGGCGAGCCCTGCCACAGGTCGAACATGCCACAGACTGAGAATTTCACACACACGGTGGGAGTGGGGTGGGCTAGGGAAGGGCTTTGATATGAGCATATCTTATCCAGTTTCTCAACTGCATGTTTGCAATGAACACCTTATACATAACATGGAATTTATTAAATATTAACAGTTGTCTTTGAGGGTTTATATTTCATTGCATAGAACATTAGAGATGAGACTTGTGGCTGTGCCCAAGGTCAAAGGAAGTCCCAAAGGGAAGGGCCTCGGAGAGGAGCGCCACCCAGTCCACCAGGTGGAAGGATGGTACCACACTCCCCAGCACAGGGCTCCGGGTCCTCCCCTCGGCTGGCAGAAGCCCTGGCCCCTCTGCTCTGAGTGCTCCCACTGCTGATGGCTTAAGAAGGACTGGAATTGCACAGTAAACAGAGGCGGGCTGAGGGGCCACCCAGACCTCACCGCCCTGGAGTTGTGCTCTTGGTGGCCTGCTGCCCACTATTGCTTCTCAGTCAACATTCATCCTGTTCTGAGCAGGGGCAGAGCAGAGAGGAAACCAAACCGTCAGTCACAAGGAGGGTGGGGCGGGGAGGAGAGTCAAGGAGGTGAGCGAAGAGAGGAGAGACAAAGGGGAGAAGGGGAAACGAAAGAAAGATGTTGATGAGGTATACACGCAAATCAAACAGAAATGATTAAGGCTGTTCTTGAAACCAAAAGAAATCCCCAGGTGTACGGAGGAGGAGCCGGCCGGTCGAGACGATGGCGGTGCTGCTGGGTGCTCAGGGTGGCTCGGGGGATGGCTTTGAGAGGGTGGCCAGCGTGCTGGCATGTCGCCACCCCTGGGCTGGGAGAAGCCTCAGCCGGGGCCTGCGCTGCTTTTCGGTGCTATGGCCTCTTATTTTAGCAATGAGACAGTGTTAGGTCCTAATGTTTGTAAAGTTCTCCCAACCCCACACTAGCCACACGGAAGTCTGCTCCCGTGTCACCCAGAGGACAGGGTGAGTGGGGCAGACCCCTGTGGCCACAGAGGAGCCGGGCCAGCTGGAATGTGAAGAAAATGGAGCCCGGGGCCCCCAGCCCTCAGTCAGAGCCCGTCTCCAAGGCTGTGGAAAAACTTCTGGCATCGTGAAGGGCGGAAAGGGTCCGTCAGAAACAGGCAGCGGTGCCCGAACTCTGTGTATAACGCATCGCGGGCCTGGCCGGCCAGGCCGCAGACGGCCGCTGTGGGAAGAGCGGCGACTGCGCGGCGGCAGGGTTTCCGAAGAGAGCTCCTCCCTCCCAGCCACAGCTACGCCTCGAAGGTGGCACCCTGAGGAGAGCAGGGTCTCCAGAAAGACAATCAAAGTTCCCCCGGCCAGTGGTCCCACTTGTCCAGCAGATGCATTGCCCAGGTAGCTGCTGCTGGAAAACATCCTGCCTCAGCTGAGGCTGCCCGCCATGTCCCACCTGGTGAGTCTGTGGGCCAAGGGTTCGCCAGGTTGTAGATGCTTGGAGGAGAGAAGGAGGGAGGCAGGGAGGGAGGGAGGAGAAGGATTTGTTAGGAGCCGCGGACAGCTGGTTCCCACCCCGCACCCTTCAGCTGCCTGCCACACACCGAGGGCCTCCTACTCCCCCTCAGGACCCCACCCACTGAGGCTTGGAGAGATGGGTGCTTGGCAGCTTTGAGGCCACAAAGAGGACAGGAAGAAAAGAGGAATCAGGTAGGCCAGGAAGGGACATCTCTTTAACACAACACAAACTGATTTTTGCCCTGCCTGAGTGAGGGACGTGGAATCGGGCTTACAATGGCAAGCCTCTCCCAAGCCACTTGGGAGATTGCCTCGAAAGACACCAGGACACGGATGCTCACAGAAGACCCGCACGCCTGGCCTGGCTGTGAGCCAGACGCCAGAACTGGAGGGAGATTCCTTGAACTACAAAGTGAGTGGTCTCGGCACCACCCCCACATAATGTGGCCAAACACAGAACAAAGCCACGCCTGTGGTTCCTTTCCCTTCCCAGTGATGGAGCCCAGCCCTCAAACCAGCTGGGCACTGCCACGAATTTGGCCACGGGCTGCCCCTCCCCTCAGCACAAATTCTGGTTTCCCATCTGTTCCAGGGCAACTCCGGGGGACATCTGGCTGCACAGGGGAGTGGCAGGGAGTGAAGGCGAGAAGAGCGCCAGAGGCGCTGCGTGGGGGCCCCTGCCATCAGAATCAGTTTGGGGTCTTGACTTGGGCTCCAAAGCCCACCCCAGCTGGCTCCTGCCCCTTCAGGCCTCACCCCTGACACCTCCCCCCGCCGCTGTAGGTCTGGTTGTGCTGGCTGTTCATCTGCCCCCGAAGCCCACCAGTGACCCCTGCCGGCAGGGCCTCTGTGGGCGCTGCTCCTCTGCCAGGCAGCAGCCACCCCCCCACCCCCCGAGTCTCATCGCGCCCTGGCCGCTTCTCTAGAGCAGACCCCTCTGTCCCGGAACGCTGCTTCACAGTTTCAAAGCACTTATCGCCTTCAGAAATTACCTTTTTTATCTAATTTTTACTTTTTAACTGATTTATTCTTAGTCCCACTCAATGTACTGTCAGCTTCAGAGGGCAGGGACGTGGTTTTGTTCCCTGCTGTATCCCCGGGGCCTGGAACAGGGCTCAGCCCCTCCCCAGGGTTTGACAAACTGTTTATGGAATAATGAGTAAGCGGATAAAAAACTGGACCCTTCCAGTCCCTCCACTGTTCCTCCAGAGACAGGCAGCCCCTTCGACACTACCCTCAGCTCTGTCCCCCCAGCAGGCCTGGCCGCAGGGCTCCCCTCTGACTTGCTTGCTGGCCCCTGGCCCTGCTGCGCACACCCCTGCCCATCACGAGAATCTCCCAAACCTCTGTCCTCTGAACCTGAGAGGCGGTGAAGGACAGAGGGGGAGGTCTCAGGGGTTCCAAGTGAGGCATGGGCCCTGGCTGTGCACAGAGCAGCACCAACAGCCGGGCCACCCTCCCTGACATCCTGATGCCACGCCCCCTCCTGCCCCACAGGGGCAGGGCCAAGGCCAGAGAAAGCTCCAGTAGGAAGCTGCTCATCCTGCCTCGGCTACTGCAGCCCAGACAGAACCAGGGCTCCTGCCCTGCGGCCCTTCTGCTTTCTCCCTGGCTGATCTTGTCTGGGGCTGAGCCTACCTGTCCCGGTGACCTTCCTGTTCTCTCTGCCCTCTCTACTCATTCTGTTCTTCCTCCTTGTGGGCCACGAGCTCAGCCTGTGAAGCCAACAATGTCTTGACCTCATGCCCAGTGGTCTCGGTCACAGCTAAAGGAAGGCCACAGGCCCCTCCTAGTCCACACCTGTAGGAACGGGTGGCCCTTCACCCCTTCCTCTGTCCCCCCACACTGGCCCTGACACTCACTGTTATACGCAGAGTCCAGAGCTGCACCCAGGCCTCTGACTCCAGAGATTTTTCCACAGCACCAAGACCATCTCCCTTCATCTCTTCGAGAGCCTGTGGAACACGTGTGCAGGAGGGTTGGGAGGAACTGTGTCCCAGCCCGCAACTTAGCGCCAGCGCAGAGCAGCGAGAGTCCTGTGTGGGAGGGGGGTGCTGGAGAAGGACAAGGGGATGGGGACCCTGGCTCCCCTTTGCTGGGGACTTGGACTGGGCTGGCCCCATGGCGAAGCCTCTGTGCACAGGGCCCTCCATCTCCTCCTGCTCCTGCCGCATGCGCAGGAGAGGACATGCAGCTCTGGCCACATCACCTGTGGCTGGAGCCTGGGCTCCTCCCAGAGGACCCCTCAGAACTGGAAGCGCCCACAAGAGCCCCTCAGGCCTGCCCTGGGGGAGGCTGGGGACAGACAGCTATACTCACCCTTTGTGGCACGATCACCAGAATGAGGAGAATCTTTTGCCAAAAGCAGAGACGGCTACAACAGAAAAAGGAGAGTGGCATCAGGACACTACACCAGACGCCCTCCCCATCGGGGTCGTGTGGCCCACCAAGGCGGAGCCCAGCCCCAGAACCACAAGGCTGGCCTGGGCCCGAGTGACTGAGCCTGGAGTCACTCCCCAGACCCAGTCTCCGCCACAGGAGGCAGGGCTCACCTTCTGTCAGTTTGCCGGCCTGTTCTGCTGCCCCACCAGGGAGGATCTTGGAGAACACACTTTCCCCTTCGGCACCTGGCTGGCCTGCAGGAGCCCCTGGGGCCCCTCCGGGCCTGGCTCCAGCCTTCATGCCTGGGGGGAGAGAGACCACCCTCAGGAGCCAAGTGTGACCTGACTCTCCAGGCTCTGAGTGGGAGAGTAGCCGTGAGGGCATCTAAGCACAAGTACCCAGTGAGGGGCGGGGCGAGGAGGGGCGCAGAGGCATGAAGAGAGGGAGACAAGAGCAGGAAGAAAAGGAGTGCAAAGAAGCAGGAAAAAGGAAGCTGAAGGGGACAAAAAGGAGAAAGGGAGAGGAAGGAAGAGGGGAAGGAGGGAAGAAGAGAGCATGAAGTCACAGTCTTGGCCCTGCTCACCAGTCCCTTCCGCTGCCCTGCCGAGAGCTGCCTGGGCCCTAAGACCCCAGCACTGCTGACCCCACTGCGCATTCTAGCACCAGTCATTCTGCTGGGAGGCCTGCAGCCCCCTGGGCGCCTTCCTGGGGGCAGTGAGGGCATGCAGGGCATGGGAGCTCAGGGCACCCAGGTGGGGAGAAAGCATTCTGGGTTGTCTGGGTCACAACTGAGGACATCAAAGGGGAGGCTCACCTGTAGGTCCAGGTCCTGGTGGTGGCTGAGCCTGAGGAGGCCTCCCTTGCTGGGCCACTTTGGCTGCCCCTTTAGAGCCATCTGTCTGCTCTGCCCGTGGCTGCAACACAGAACCCCTAGTTGAGATACAGCCCACCAACTCTGCCCATGCCCAGCCAGGAACCAAGGGGACATCCAAGCTGCAGCTACAGCATTATCCCTGGGTAGGATCCGTGCCGTGGAACCCTACTTACTGGTCCTGCTGGCTGGGAGCCTGTGGCTGTCGTGGGGCCTGGCTGAGGCTTCCCTGCTGGCTGGCTGGCAGCGGGGGCTGGGCCCCGGGCAGTTGGCTGGCCCTGCTGCTGCAGCCGAGCCTGTGACGGCGTCTGCTGGGGGGGCTGTGGCCCATGACCTTGCTGCTGCTGCTGCTGCTGCTGCATTTGTGGCTGGCGTGATGCTGTTGCTGAGGGTGTCTGCCTCGATGGTGGTGGCTGTGGCTGCTGTGGCCCTGGAGGTGCCTGCCGACCCTGTGGCTGCGGCTGCGGCTGTGGCTGCGGCTGGGGTTCTGGCTTTGGCTGCAGTGTGGCAGGCCCTGAGTGGGCCTGCCGGGAGCCCTTCTTGCTGTCAGAGGCATGATGGTATGCTGATGGAATGCGGGATGGCTGTGAGTATTCAGCCGAGCTGGGGTACCCAGGCTGACCCTTCTTCTGCATGGCTGGGCCAGAGCTGGGCTGAGAGTGAGGCCGGACCTCATGGCGACCCAGGTCCCGAGCATGTGGTTTGGCAGCACGTCGGCCTGGCTCCTCACCAGCGTGGCGGCCTGAGTGCCGCCCGTGGTCACTGTGGTGTCGATGTTCCTTGGCTGAGGTGTGGCGGCCCGGGCCACCTTCATCATGTGGCCACGAGCCCTCCTCGGGGAGCTCATCATAGTCGTGGTAGCTGTGCCTGGCAGGGCCTCGCTTCTGGGAGGAGGAAGAGACTGCGTGGCCCCCGTGGTGCCTGAACCGGTCAGAGCGGGCATCCCGGGGCTTATCAAACCAGTCTGTCTCCTCCTGGCCCAGGTGATAGGCTTCAGAGACCAAAAACAGAACACCATCAACCCCTGGGTCGACCACAGGGGTCGGCCACAGGGGGCGGCCCAGCTGAAGCCATGCAAGGAAACCACAGGGGCACCACAGCCACAGCAAAACCCCAGGCCCCCGCCCACTTTCCCATGACCCGGCCAGGGCACGGGTGGAGAAGGCACAGCCCTCGGCACGCAGCACCAGGCCAGGACATGCTGGGACATCTCAGGGCCCAGGGCCCCACAGGGAGGATGGCCCCCAGGTGCTGAGCATCTGCAGAAATCATCCCCAGCTGCCATTACCTTCACTGTCAGAAACTACGCAGTGGGAATCATCCAGGATGTAGCCTTCCTCTCGCTTATATGCATGGGCCCGAGGTCCGTCCTTGACGTGCTCCTGGACATCAGGCATGGAGTGGCTGGAGCAGAACTGTGGGCAGGTGTCTCCAGGAGGGAGGGCACCCCCGGGTGGGCGGGGCCGCCCCAAGGGGCTGACGGGGCTCTCCTCTTCAGAGGCCTGGCTTCGCATGGGGGGCCGGGTGCGGCTGTGGGCCATGCTCAGGGATGAGGGCTTGGGGCCCGTTTTCTGAAGTCGCTCCACGGCCTCCCGTTCCCGCTCGTATCCCTTGCCCCGGCTGCTGAAGTCATGGCTGGACAGCTTCTCCCCACTGTATGCAGTTGCCACCCGGGACCGGCTGCTTCCACTGTACATGCGGTCGTCCTCCTCCACTGGGTCCCGGCTGGACACCCCGTAGTACCTCTGCTGCTCATACACGTTCTTCTTAAGCCCGTAGGTGATTTCTTCCTGGAACTTTCTGCCCCGAGAGGCCAGGCTGCTGCTGACTGCAGGGGAGGGGTAGGCAGCCAGGTCTGACTCCACATCCTTGGCTTCTTCGATAGGCGAGAACTTGGAGATCTTTTGCTCCATGCCTTGCTTCCGGTGCTTGCTGCGCTTTGAGGAGACGGCAGCTGGGGCCAGGCTCTTGGAGGGATGCTTGGGCCCCACGGGGCCTGGACCGTACTTCTCTGCTCGAGCCCCATGGCGGTAGTCACTGTCACTGTAGTAGTGGGTGCTGGCCGGCCGACCATCACCCTCCGTGCTTCGGTGATGGCCGCTCTTCCCACGGGGGTCGTAAGAGTCTTCCTCGGATTCTTCCTCCCCTCGGCTGTAGCAGCAGGGCAGCGTGGGCCCCTCAAGGATGCCTGGCTCCCCTGCTTCTTTCCCTGGACGCCCACTGCTGCTCGGCCCCAGGGGCTCCAGGCGCTGGCTATCGGGGACAGTGGAAGAGCTGTCCTTGGTCAGCTCACTGATGTCATCGATCATCACGTAGTTCCGAGGGACATTCTGCTCCAGGCTGGTGTAGTGTGAGTCAGAGGGGTACGCAGGGGCTGGACTCATGCTCATACCACTACGATCAGTGGCCCGAGGCAACTCAGGGCCCTTGCTTTGCTCATAGCTGCTGCTAACCGTTGGGCCACTGTAGCTGGTTTCTGATGGGGCCGAAGACATGGCCACAGCGGGGCTGGTGATCACCTCATAGTTGGTGGGCACCTTCTGCTCCAAGTCGGCTAGTGATGTCTGGCGTGGCTTCTGGTTGGGGGCACGGCTGTCAGCCGGGGTAGAGAAAAGGGTGCTCTGTGTGGCTGGCATGGGTGTTTGTGGTGTGTAATGGCCTGAGGGACGGAAAGCCTGCTGGGTTGGCAAGCCAGACTCAGCAGGGTAACTGGTGCCAGGAGGGAAAGCAGGCGCAGGGTACGTGCTGGGGCCAGGGTATGTGGGTGCTTGGTGGGCTGGGAATCCATTTGGACCCAGCCCACTGCTGCCTGCAGTGTACTGCGGGGCTGGAGATGGGAATCGTGGCTGCTGGAAGGCAGTGGGGCCAGAGGGGGTGGCGGGAATAGCAGCTGTGACAGGGAAGTCTGAGTACTGGCCGGCGGGAGCGGCACAGCCCTGGAGCCGCAGCTGGTTGAGCTCACTGTCCGACAGGTAGTCACGATGCTCACCGAGACCACGCAAGGGTGCGTAGTCACGGCCACCCCGGTCCTTGGCCAAAGACTCTTTGCGCTGTGTGATACCCAGCTCCAGGTACTTGAGCTTGGCGTCGATCTCCTTCTCCTCCTCATCCAGCTCTGCCTGCTTCTTGCGCAGCTTGGTGGACTCATGCTCCACCAGCCGCAGGTCCCGGTCCAGCTCCCGGAGCAGACTGGCCTTGGTGGCCGGGACAGCGGTGGGCCCTGCCAGCCCACGCTGCAGTAGGCTGGCCGCATACAGCTGTGGGGGGGCCTGGCTAGCCAGGGGCAGATGAGCCTCCTCTGGAGGAGGGCTGGGCAGTGTCCGCTTCACCTTGCGGACCAGGCCGTTGGGTGGCAGCGCCGACACCTGAGACAGAGGGAAGGGCGGGCAGCACTGAGACCCAAGGTGCAGGTGGCTTGGAGGGGCACAGGGTGGAAGAGCCCTAGCTTTGGCTGGGGCAGGGGATGGGTTCTATACTGATTCACTGGGAAGCCTCCAGGCCTGCCTGGCCCACCCACTGGCCTGTGATCACCTTACAGTCCTTGTCCTTCCTAGTGCTCTGAGCCGCAGGAAGGCAGGGAAGGAGCAGATGCCTGTCTGTGCTGGTTTCTAATAATGGCCTGGCTCCGAGAACCCCTGCCTGTGTCCCATGGGCTTGCCCCCCTCCACCCGCCTCAGTGAGTGCAGAGGTGAGGGCACAAGTCTTGCTCTGGGTTTGGGTCCTGGCAGCTGGTGGGAACCAAGGGCAGTGGAGGGACACAGACAAGAGTGTAATGGGTCCTGGGCCCACCAGGCTTCCTAGAGGATCATGGGAAGGGGTATATGTTGACTGTCAGTTGCTGCAGGCTCTGCACCCTTTTCTGCCCCCTACCCTATTCCCCTCTAAAGTGACATAGAACTCAGGCATCCACCCACCTCCTCCTCCACTGCCCTGCACCACCCTCTGCCAAACTCTCCCGGCTGTGCTCTCTGCCTTGGCCCCAGCTCCCTCCACAGCCTTGCCAGCCACTGCTCTCGGGCTGCCAGCACCCCTCTCTGTCCTTCCAGCCTCATCTCCTGCTGTGTGGCTTCCTGGTCAAGGCTCCCTAACGCTGCCCTCCATGGGGCCCCCCACTGGCCCAGATGTTCCACATGACCTGAGAGTGCTCACCACTGGAGGGTTTGTCCTGGGTCCTCCCTTCGTCTCTAGCTCATAGCCTTTCCACAAAGCCCCAGGGGTTTGGACTTTTATGGAACGCTCAAACCCGCCAAGTTCACTGGGGTCTGACAACCAGCTTCTCACACTGTAGCTTGCCAAGACACATGACACCTACCACCCACTCTCACTGCAGGTCATAAACTAGCGTGCCCTCGGACCAGAGGGTGGGCCTTTAACGGGATACAGCTCACTCTCTGAACTCCACACTGCTGTCTTGTTGTTTTGGCCACTACTACGAGGGCCGGCTGTGGCCAGGCCCCATGTAGCTGGCCCACGGGACCTCTGTCCACCCTAGGCTGGAGCCAGACCACCAGCTTCTCTGACCGGCCCTCCCTGCCAGTCCAGCTTCTGGATCCCACACCGGCCCCTCTGGCCTGCACACCCCCACGTGTGTGCTCTCCACTGCCTAAGCCCTTCACCTCCGCGGCCCCACCTCAGGGCCCACCTCTCTCCTAGGCATCACACCCAGAGAACGGCACATATACCTCATGATGCCTGGGGCCCCTCCCCCCTCCCTGGGGTCACTCTGCAGTCTCTTCCTTCAACCCATCTGTCCACACTCTGTTCAGGAAGCCTTCTAAGACACCCGTCTTGTCCTGTCTCACCTGCCTAAAACCTCCAGAGGCTCCAAGGGCCTTCAAAACAAAGCCCACCCTCCTCAGCCTGGCACTCAAAGTCCGTGGTGTTAGGCCCTCACCATCCCCATGTCCCCTCCAAGGCAGCCCACGGAAGGCCTCATAGTCACTGGACATCACTGGCAACTAAAACCACAGACAAGGGTAAGTGTATGCTTCAGGGGTAGCCGAGGGCACACTGCCGCCCACTGGAGGGCCCCACAGTGCTAGGCTGATGCACTTGGGCTTCATGGGGGGCAATGGAAGCCAGGCCATGGCTAGGACATGGGGACACTCACAGGTCTGTGAGACTGATTTTCTTAGGAAACATCCACAGTAGAGGACTGGAGTGGGCAGGGCTCAGACTGGAGGGCTAAGGAAGCCCAAAAGGGGAGGCAGCAGGGACTACATATGAGCCCGGAGGAGGTGGCAAGAAGGGAAGTGGAAGTTTCTGGTGGCACCTGGCTGGACGCCTGCGGGCCGTGAGTGGGTGTGCCCTGGGTGTGCTCGCCAGGCTGCAGACTCCACCGCGGAAGAGTCAGACCTCCACTCCGCCCTCTGGCCTTGGGAGCTGGAGGTGACTCCACCCCACCCCAGAAGAAGCCCTTCCCTGTGGGGCCCCCCAGACTAGGCAGAGACCCCTGTCCCACCCTGGAGGAGCCCCTGTGCCCATACCTGGCTACCCAGTCCCCCCTGGTGCTGGTAGAGGGAGAACCTCTCTTTGGCAGACTCCTCGGCGGTGGGGCTGAGGGGCTTAGGGTCCGACAAGGACCGCTGCAGGGTCTTCACGGGGCGAGGCAGCGTCTGCTGGCGGAGAGCGCTGTCAGCTGTGAAGTGCTTCTGGGGACTCACGTGGGCCTTGTTCAGCCTCTCACTGGAAGTGAAGGAGGCGTCCAGGAGCCGGTGTGGGGACAGGGGTGAAACCGGTGAGTAGAGGACCTGAGGGGACTTGGGAGGCTGGCGGCTCACAAGCTGGGAAAGGGACTCCGGGGGCAGGTGGGCCTGGTATCCAATCTCCAGTGGATCCGGCTTCTTTTTTTCGAATCTTCCCAGGGGCCCTGGGGTGACGATCTGGATGCCAGGCAGGTAGGGGCTGATGGCGGCTGGCCCCATAAGCTGTGGCCCAGCTCCTCCCTGGGCCTGGGCCTGCCCCTCCGGCTCCGTCTGGCAGGCCAGGCTCTCCCCACGCCCAGTCTTCTCTGGTGCTGATATGTACCTGACAATCTCCACCTTGGGGTCAGTAGCAGCTGTGATGTGGATGGCCGGGGAGACTCTGGGCAGCTGGTCAGGCTCTGTCTGCACGGAGCAGTCACTGATGGTCTGGATGCCCACGCTGCTCGTGGCCCTCGCAGCGGCGGCAGCGGCAGTGGATGATGAGGCAGTAGCCTCGTGCTTGCTGTCCGAGCCGGAGTCCGAGTGGCGGGAGAGACGAGACCGGCGGCGGCGCACTGGCTGCTCCCACTCAGCGCTGTCCTCATCGTCCGTCTGCACGCTGCAGTCAGTGCTCCGCCGGGCCCGGCGCCGTCGGGTCAGAAGGTAGCGGCCCTCCCCATCCTCATCATCAGTCTGCACGCTGCTGTCTGCAATCCTCCTGACCGTGCAGGGCTCGGGCGCCGACTCTGGTTCACAGGCATCCCGCAGGCGTGGCATCGAGTGCCGCTTTTTGAGGGCACTGCGGCCTGCCTCCCACTGCTCCTCTGTCTGCAGTGACATGTCCGAGGCAGAGTTAGGGAGGCCCCGGTGCAGCACAGGCTCCCGAGGCTGCCCTGGCCCCTCAGGCCCTGCCACGGCGATGAAGGCTGCATGGGTCAGGGGTGGCCAGTACTGGCCATTCTGAGCTAGCTCAGTGGCCGTTGGCGGAGCCCCTCGGCCAGGTGCCTCACAGGCCACAGGGAAGGGAGCCTTCTGCCTCTGCTTTTGTTCCTCTAGCTGCTGCTGCAGTTGCTGTTGCAGCTGCTGGATCTGCTCCAGCTGCAGACGTTGTTGTGCCAGCTGTTCCCGCTGCAGGGCAAACTGGGCTTGCCGTTCCTCTTGCTGCTGCTGTAGCACGTGGTGCTTGATGGTCTGCAGTTCTTGCAGCTCTCGCTGCACCAGCAGCTGCTCCTCCTCCCTGTGCCTCTGCAGCTCCACACGCTCCCGCTCCAGCTCCTCCTGCAACCGCAGCTGCCGCAGCTTCTCCAACTCTACCCGCTCCCGCTCCAGCTGCAGCAGCTGCTCCTGCTGCTTCCGCTGCCTCTCCTCCTGTGATGCTTCCTCCTTCTCGAGCCCTGGCCGGCTGGGGGCCCCACTGCCGCCCCCAGGAGCAGCATCTACTGGTGGCTTCTGGCCAGCCAGGGGGGCTGGTGCTGGGGCTGCTGCAACCTCCTTAACAGCAGCATGGGTGGCTGTGGAAAGAGGCTCTTCTCGAGCAGCCCCTGCCGGCAGCTCTGGCCTCAGTGGGCCCCCAGCCCCTGGGGCCTTGGCAGCAGCAGGTTTCCCTAGGTAGACAGGACCCTCGGCAGGCGGCACGCCAGAAGCAGTGGGAAATCTACTTGGTGCAGGGTATCGGTACAGCCCTGGGGGCCCAAGAGGTACCCGCGGAGCAATCATGGGCAAGCGTGTTAGGCTGGTGAGCGGCACAGCTGTGACCCCACCAGATGCATAAGGCCTGTACATGCCACCTCGCACCATGGGCCGCAGTACTGAGCCGGGTTGGGTGGTGATGGGCAGTGTGGCAGCAATTGGGGTGTTGATAGTGGAATAGATCATGCCATCAGCCGCACGCACAGTGGCTGTGGATGGCAGCAGCTGTCGGACTGCTGCTCCCTGGGCTGCTGTAGGCCTGTACTGGGCCAAAGTCCCGGGATTTGGGTGGCCCTCTGGGAAGGTGGGGTTCCCAAGGAGGCCAGGTCTGAGGGGAGCCAGCCCCTGTGGGGTGCTGAGCCCAGCCCTGGGCTGGGGCTGGTACTGTAGGAGGTCAGGGCCACCACTGCTGCTGCCATGCCGCCCTCCATACTGGTCCATGGAGTTGAGGGCTGCACACATGCGGCTGATCTCGCGTGCTGTGGTGGCACTGTACTGGGCCAGGCTGGCCTCTTGGAAGCCAGCTGCATCACCCCGAGGGCCATACCTGTGGTCTGAGTAGATGTTTGACACTGAGCTGTATCTCCGTATGGGCAGGGGGTGAGCCAAGAGGTCTGTGGGATGACGCAGGTCTGTGAACGAGCCGTACTGTAAGCCCTGCCCAAGGGAGCGTCCGTCTGCAAAGCCCAGGCTGTAGGACTGCTTCAGCGAGCTTAGGTCCACGGCTGAGTCTCGTCCAGGGCCCTGGAAGAGCTGCCCTATCCTGTGGGCATGGTAGTTGAGGCCTGCCTCAGCTAAATTGGTGTCGGACATGGAGGAATACAACCTGCCAGGGAGGCCCTGTGGGTAGGGCCTCTGCTCCTCGTGGGGCCCAAGCCCCACCATCCCCTGTGCCCGGTAGGCGGGGGGCTCGGGAGGCTCAGGCTCCCGAGGATTATAGAAGGGGCCGCTGCCTTGGCCATGGGGAACAACATCTGCCACGCTCTTCTCAGGTGCACTGGGGGCAGGGTGGAAGGTGCCAGTACAGCTACTGCCAAAGGGGAACTTGTAGACCATGTCACAGCATGCCAGCTGGCTCTCCGGTCTCATGCCTGTGAGGTCCAGGGCACCCGCTGGCTCCTCAGGGAGCAGTGTGGTCACAGTGCCTGCCGTACCCTCTCCCATCTGCACCAGCACTGTGTGTGGCTTCCGGGCACCTGGAAGAGCATGTGGCCGCAGCTCTGCAGGGGTGGCCCGGTGGGGCTCGGCACCAGCCTCTGGCACAGGGCTTGACTTGAGGCCAACACTCTGCACAGTGCCCATCTGTGTGATCAAGACATCCCTTCTGGCCAGAGGCGTTACCTGGTTGGGCAGGTTATACCTGGCAAACTTGGCCTCCCTTGATCTTCCCTGGGGTCCACCACGGTACGGGGCTGTCTGGACGGCCTGCTCTACCTGCTTGACCTGGGCCAGGCACACGGGGCTACCTACACCCTGGCCAAAGTCAAGCCGGCTCTGGAAGGGGTCTCCATAGACCACAGGCTGCTTCTGCTGGGCCATAAGCACAGAGGCAGCCATGGTGATGCTCACGGTGGTGGCGGTGCTAAGGAAGGCGTGGGTCTGCTCCTGGGCGTTGAGGTTGATAACCAAAGGCTGCACAGCGGTGGACTGCCGTCCTGGGACTGGATCCAGGGCAAGACCATACTTCCTCGCTTCCACAGCGAGAGAGGTCAGGTCCATGCCCTGGTCAGTGAGAATGATGGGCGTGGGTTTGACGGCTGTGCGGAGGTCTACTACAGCGCTGCCAGGGGGCCTGGGACCTGGCTCAACCCTGGACGTTCCAGGGACGGAGGAGATCCGGCACAGGGAGATGTTCTCGGCAGGGAGGGCACCCCAGCCATACAGTGCCAGGGGCCCATCTGCACCCACACTGGCTGCCCGTGGGAAGCCGGATGGCCCAGGAGGTTCTGAGGGCAGCTGAGACACACTTGGAAGTGTTGTCTGGCTGTAGCTGTGAGTGGTGGGCTGGATGTCAGTGGGGGAACACACAGGGGAGGTGGAGGCACTGGCATGCACCATCCTGGTCTGGCTGGAGGCATCTGACGCCAGTGTGATGACCATAAAGGGGGCCTCCTGAGAGGGCTGCTGCCATACCAGGTGAGGCGTGCTGGGTCGGTGTGGCGTTTGTGTGCCTTGAGCCACCATGGGGGTCGTGGTGGGGGCACCAGGGCTCCGTGGCATGTCCGGGGCAGGGGTTGGGCTTGGCGTCTGTGTAGAGAACTCTGCTGTGGCCCTTGGGCCCAGCTTGCCAGGGGAGAATGTGGGACTCTCTGAGGGAGAAGATGGGGAGAGAGGTGGGCTGGGGCCGGCGAAGTAGGAGTATCCCTGGCAGGGCTGGGGAGCGCCGCTCTTGCCCTCACTCACACGCAGGGGCTTCTCTCTGGTGGCCCGCCCGCTGCTAGCAGGGCCACTGGGGGCCTGGGGCAGCTCCTCCGTCTGGGACCCGTAGTTCGCAGTGGTCGGGCTCTGTCCATAGCTGTGGGCTGTGGAAGGTGAGGGGCTGCGCTCGGAGCCTGCGGGGGACGTCGGAGTCATGTACCCTCGAGGCAAGCCAGGCAGACCAGGAGCCCCAGCCGTGGAGGCTGGGGTCCCAGGGCCCTGGGAAAAGGGTGTGCTGCCCTCTTTGGAGGCAGAGCTGGGAGAAGCAGGAGAGCTGTGCAACTTGAGGGGGTCCTGAGGCTCCTTTGCAAAATGCTGAGTAACTCGGACATCAGGAATGACGCGGCCCCCGCTGCTGTCTGAGGAGGCGGAGGTGGAAAAGGGCACCGGGGCAGCAAGCTGGGTGGGGCTGGTGCCCGGGGTAAGTGGGCCGCCATTTTGCTTCATCGGATCCACGTACGCACTCTCGGCATTCAGAAACTGCTTCTCCTTCTTCTTGTCCTCGTCAAAGGCCAGGTCTCCTGAGGAGGCCTGGCGCATGCGGGCAATGCTCTGTGATGTCTGAAGGATCTCCTCATAGACAGCTGCTCCCAGGCCGGCGGGCGCACCCTCCGAGGAAGGAGGGGCAGCCCGGCCATACTCATGGTCTGGGGAGTCCTGGTATTCAAAGGAACCCTGCGCCCGGGGCCCTAAGGGCTGAGAGGGGCCCCCATGGGGCCCCCTGCCCACTGCCGCCTGGCCCTGCTGCCGCTGGAGCAGCTCAGCCTTGCGCATCATCTCCTCGTAGGCCTCCTCAGCACTCTTGAGGGGCCGGCTGGGGCTGGCACTGGGCACGCTGGAGCTGCCCAAGGGCGTCTCAGTTGGCGAGTAGAGGGACATGAAAGTAGGCAGGCTGTACTCGCTGCCCGACTTATAGAGCCGCGTGGGACCACCCTCCAGGGTCTCCGCCTCCGAGTCCAAGGAGGGTGAGGGCGAATATTCCGAGCAGGAGGAGCGGTGGAGCTCCTCCATCTCCGCTGCCTGCCGCAGTTCCTCTGTGGGGGAGGCATCCTCGATGGGGGACAGGTTGCTTGGGGGGGTCTTGGAGCGCTCACGCCTCCGCTGGGCCCGCAGTTCCTCCTTGTCCCGCCGGGTCTTGCGGACCGTGCTGCGGATGCGCTGCTGCTCCACCTCCCGCATCTTCTCCTGCTCACGCAGCAGCTCCTCCTCCTCCCGCAGCTCCTCCTCTTCAGAGGAGTCCTCGATGGTGGGCAGCAGGGGCCCATGGGAGCGGTGCCTGGCTTTGCGCTGCTGTTTTGCTTCTTCTAGCCTCTGCCGGCGGCTGGGGCTGCTGTCGCTGTCCTCCTCCAGCGAGGACAGGGAGGTGGGAGAGGTGCCGGATGTGTAACTGGGCGTGGAGGCTGGCAGCGTGGAGGAGTGCTCCCCGCGGGAGCGGTCCTCAGGGGATCCCGTCAGGCTCTCCATCTCTAGCTCAGGCTCCCGGTCCAGGCCAGGGTCGGGGCCTTGGCCCAGGTCCAGCTCATGGCCATAGCTCCCTGTGCTATTGAGCTCAATGGTCTTGAAGCGGCGGAGCCCTCCCTGCAGGGTCCCAGTGCCATCGGTGGCCTCTGCTGGGCCTTCCTCAGAGAGCAGCTCCTCGTAGCCTGTAGTGGCATTGTGGGGCAGGCGCCTCTTGGGTGGGGCCCCTAGCTCTTGGCTGGGCTCTGGCCTGGACCTGGGGCCACCCTTCTGGGTGCTATGCTTGGCCAGGCTGTGCCTGGAGGCGGCCGCATCTTCCTCTTCCAGGTTGTCTTCCTCAGCACTCATCTCCAGTATCTGCCGTCGCATGAACTCCTCATCCGTCATTTCTGCAGCCCGGGCTGGGGGTTGGGGTGGAAGAGGGGACAAGCCGCCTTCGCTGCTGTCCTCCACGTAGTCATGCCTCAGCTGGCTGCTAAAGTCGTCCGAGGATTCAGCCGTGTCCTGCTGCTCCCTCTGGCGCCCCCACTCCAGAGAGTCTTCCTCTTCCTCCAGGATGTCCTCCAGTTCCTCATCGGAGTCGAAGGCCTCAGGCATGATGGACAAGGAGTGGGGCCGCCGCTTTTGCTCCTCACCGCTGCTGGGACCGGGCAGCTTGCTCCGCTCACCACTGGGGGCCGAGCCCTGGGCCTGCAGCGAAGGCCGCATGCTGCCTACCTTGTGGAGCTGGGAGGGGCTGGGTGGGCGTGGCCCCGCCACTCCTGCAGTGTCCAGCTGCTCCACCTCCTGCTGCACCACACCTGTGATCTCACTTTGGGAGCTGGAGACGCCATCAGAAGAATAGCCTGTGTCGCTGAGGCTCTGTGGGCTCCGGGACAGGTCCTGAGAATAAGGCTTGCCCACCAGCTCCTGCAGCAGGTGAAAAGCAGACATTGACTCCCGCAGCAGACAGCTGATCGGGGAGCCCAGCCCTCCCTGTGAATCCCAGGGACCTGGGGGAGGGATGCTTCACCTCCCCGGTGATCAGAGCCCACCACCCTCTCCATGTCTCTGGCCTTGAGTAACTTGCAGGTTCCATGGCAAACCCCAAGCAGCCCTAGGTTCTCAAAGAGAAACCTCACTAAATCTAATGGTAGTAAAACTCAGGACTAGCCTGTAATTCACAGGCTCCAGACCCACCAGGGCCTCATCGAGGCAGGCATCCCTGCTCTCCTCTGCAGTCCCAAGGGGCCGTCCCAGGCCTACACCCCAGCCCCCTCCCCTAGACTGTCCCAGCTAGGGTCCCTGCAATGTGACTGAAACTGACCTCTGCCTCTCCACCCTTGGGGGCTTCTGGAACAGCCTTGACCACAGGGGTGGTGGGCTCCGTCCTCCGCAGCCCGGTCTTTGCTTTAGCAGTCCCGTGGGGCAGGCTGGTCTCCGGAGGTGGTTTCGGCACAGGCTCCGCTTTAGCTGGGACTCCTGTCTTCTTTTCTAGGGCACTGCTCGGGGTCCTGCTAGGTTCAGAAGCCCTGAGGGGCTTTGCTTGGGGGCTGGCCTTGGTGGGCAGGGGACTGGCCTTGGCAGGCGGAAGGCCTGATGGCTGGCCCAGCCCCTGTGGCCCTTTCTGCTTTGGAGGGGTTGTTCCAGCCGCACGGGGAGGGGCCCCTGCGGGGAGCTGCTGTGAGGTGGGCAGCGGTACGGGGGCTGGCTCTCCCAGGCTGCCCTCCAGCAGTCGCTTAGTTTGGCAGTTGAGACAGAGCCACTCGGTTTTCTGTAAAGAAATGGGGGGGGGGGGTTGAGATCACCAAGGCACTGGAGAACTCAGAGTATTTCTGTGACTATCTCTGCAGCCTTAAGGAGGAGAAAGTCTTCCAAAGCATGACACCAAAGGCACAAGGAAAGAAAGACAGGCAGATTTGTTGCCCCCAGTAACAGACTTCTCCATTATTTAAATGTACATATACAAAGCTAAGATGATGAGCCCCAAAGAAGGGTCCCTTCCTCACCCCATCCGGAGCTTTTCCCCTCGGCCAGACTGGGAAGGCTCTAGGGAAGGGAAAGCTACAAGCAACACGAAGCCCTGGACAAGACAGGGAGCTAGGGGCCGGTGTGGAGCCCAGAGTGGGGAATGGCATCCCGGGAATGATCTCCTGGATGCATGGCCCCTCCCGCCTCCTAGCTCTCTGGCCTCAGACACCATCCTTGCCCATACCCTTCCTAAGGAGGGGCGGTGCAGGGAGGGTACAGACTCCTTGGGCCCTGGGAGGCTCTCTGCTTGGGGGCAGGGTGGGACTGACCAGTCTCTTCTGCCCACAGGCCCCCATGGACAAGGCCACATCTCTGCCCCAGGGCACCAGCTGAGGCCAGGCCTGTCAGGTGGCTGGGGCTTTGTGTACGTTGAGGGGTAGGGTGGCACTGCAGGCTTGTTACTCAGGGCCATGAGACCTCTCGAGGATTGGAGACCTTCTCTGCCTTGAAGCCCAATCCTACATGCAGGTCCCTGGCAGGGGGGTCCAGAGGTCCTCCGTGAATTCACTCTGCTCCCTGCAAGTCCCAGCCCTAAGCACCACTGCTGATTCCCTTAGACCTTATCTGACACTTTATGCCTGCCCCCAACTCCAGGAAAGCAGTGGGTGCTGGCTATCTGTGGGCCTTGGGCTCACTTGGCCTAGGAGGGTCCACTCCTAAAGGTGCCTAGGGAGAGTGCCGGGCAGGCTAAGACCAAGCCCTGAGATGGACATAAGCACAGAGTCTTCTCCAAGAATGTCATCCACGTGCCCTCAGCATCACCTAGGGACACAGTGAAAATGCCCCCATGTCAGAGAGAACTGTCATGTATCACAAAGACCCTGGATAGGTAGGAGGAGCGTAGGCAGAGGGCAAGAGAGAGTTCTGAAAACAAGCAAACAGCCCCTTCCCCAGCCCCGGGATCAATATAATGGGGTTAGGATCTGGGCCCACAGCAGGGCTGGCCCAAAGCTACACCACCCTGACTCCACCTTGAGTCCCTGCACACAGCCATCCCAGGTTAGGCCTCTCAAGATTAGGTCATCTTCCCTGGCTCAGCTTGGGGGCATGGCAAACCTCTGACCCCACCTCTGGCCTGCAGGCCCCTTCCCTGAAGCGACAGTCCCAATGAAGCAAGGGTACCTGGGAAGGGTGTCCTGGATGGGAGAGGCAGGCGCAAAGCCAGGGGCTCCGAGTTAGCCCCTGCCTCGGCCTGCTTACCTGAGCCCTCAGCAAAGCATGGCCCCTGTGGTCCCATGCTCCCTGGGACTCTGTTCCTTCCCATGCTTACTCATGGGGTGGGGCGGGGGTGCTGCAGAACAGGCTGCTCAGTGGGCTCTCTTGCTTCTGGCTCTGCTACAGCCGCAGTAAGGGAGAGAGGGACGACAGGCAGGAGGAGGCATGTGAGGTAAGAGCTAAAAATAAACATCTGGCTGGGCCGCAGGAGGGCCTTCTCCAGCCTTCCGGGGGTAGAGGAGGAGGGTATAGGGCACTGGGACTAGTAGGGGTGGGGCCAGGGGCGATGCAGCCCAGGCCCAAGTCTTCTGGGAAGGAGGACAGGGTGGAAAGTGTACAAGTTCCCATGCAGAATCTGTATCTGGGGGCTTGAACAAAGCTGCTGAGGCCCCAGTTTATTTTTTCACTCTGCTCTCATCTCTGCCCCCACCGACACGCCTACCCCGAGCCTACTCATTCCTTCCCTTGTTCATTCATTCCCTTGTACATTCTCTCACAGTCTCCCTCATCCAGTCCCAGGCCGTGGGGAGCTGCTGCCTGCTTGACCCTTTGCCTGTCCCCTTCGGTAAGTGGGCAGGGGATGATCTGGGACCTGGAAAAGGACAGCGGGAGGCTCTGATGACCACGTCTGCCTTGTGTCCCCCTGCCCTGGGGGCAGGAAGGTAGGACCCCCGAAGCTCAGTTGGCACCTAAGGTGAGAGGTGTAAGTGAGGATACCACAGGGTGGAGATGGGTGAGCTGCGGGTGAGGAAAGGGAAATGAGTCATCTGAGCATTGGTGGGCGCCCCACAGCAGGTGCGACTGCTGCCTCTGAGGAGCCCAGCCAGGCGGCGCTGGAGCCGGGCTTCCTCCCCACGCCATCTGCCGTAGGCTGAGCAGCCCTGCAGATGCCATGTCTTTGCGGGAGGAGCTGGCCTGCGTGTCAGTCCAGTCACTGCAACACCGGCCCGACCAACACCTGCGGCTGCCTGGCCTAACACACCCTAGCCCCACTGCCAGCCTGGGGCGCCGTGGGTAAGAACTCCAGAAAAAAGGGTGCCCAGAAGCACTGCACTGCCGGGAGAGGGGCCCGTGCAGGGTTGCTCTCGGTTCCCAGGGAACTGAAAGGGACACTTTCGCAGTGTCCGGAGCCCTTGATGTCCTGCAAATGAATGGGGAGTTTGTCCTCAAAGTCCTTGCAGCGGGAACCCCATTAGGAGGCACCAACCTGGACTTCCATGGGGAACAGGACATTTGCAAAAGGAAATCTGAAGGGAGCCCGGGAGGAGCTCCTGCGGGCAGCTCGCACCACTGTGGCCGCGGAGAACCCCGGCGCTGTCAGTGTCACATTGTCTGGGGACACTGGCCCTCGAGCTGTGCCCGAGGGCGCTGCTGCCTCTGGAGCCGCTCCTACTGTGGGCCGCTTCACTCCTCTGGCACCTTTGCTAACCAGGTCCAGGCAGCCTTCCGGGAGCCCCATGACACCCCGAGGTTGCCAAGCCCAGGGCTGACCACAGGCCTCTCCTGAGGCGTTCTGTGTTAGCCATTGGCCTGCGTCACAGACTCTCCTCTGCACCACGTGGACGTTGCCATCCCTTGCAACAGCCAGGGGGGCTCGCTCAGTAGGTCTGATGTGGGTGCTGGCCCAGGAGTTGTGCACACGTGCGGCACCATCTCCCGCGAACACCCACGGGAGGTCCCGCCTGATCTCTACCTCTGCAGAGACCCCGAAGAGACTGAGAAGCAAGAGCAGGTAGCTGCTGGAGCAGCTGTGAGCAAGGAGGCATTTCACCGTGGCTCAGCCTGAGGTTGCAGACTGGTGCCCTCAGGCCCCTTCAGCGGTCTGACGTCTGGTCTGCAGCCCCCACCACGCAGGCCATGGAATGGGGAGGGACCACCACTGAGCGCTCTTAAGCTCTTCTTCCACCGACCCTTAACAGAGTGGAAATAAGGTTGATGGAAAATAAAGCTTCTCAAAAAGAGAGAAAAGGATGTACAGAGGGCAAGGGCCCACAGGCACGGCCACAGTGCTGCAGTTCCCTCCTGACTCCGTGACCCTGTGGCCTCTCCCTGTCCCCAGACAGCCCCGACACCCCCCGCAGGTGCCTTGGGGGTGGGTCATGCTCCAGGGCCCAGTGTTTCATCCCCTGTGGGGCGTCCCTCACTGGCCACAGGGTGAGCTCACACCCAGACAGCGGGGACTGGCAGGGCCCTTTCCTGCGCAGAGCACACTGGTCCCAGTCTCTGGGCTCCAGGGCCGACCGGTGCTGCACCTTGCACAAGTGTCAGAGAGATGGCAGCTCATCCAGTTCTCGAAGACACCGGAGCACTATTGTCCATTCCACACAGAGGACACCGAGCTCCCTGCAGTCACCCCCCAGAGGCAGCCTAAGGCAGGTGTGGGGCAGAGGCAGCTGCTGGCCTCTCTCCTGATGCCCCTGCCGCAGTCCCTGTCCCAGATAAGCCCAGCCAGCCCCACGAACCACAGGGGCCAGGCCTCTTGCCCAGGGAGGCCAAGCTTCTCAGGAGCACAGCTGGTATTTTGGCAATTATAATAATATAAGAAACAGGCAGTGTAACTGTAACCATTCCAACCCCACTAATTTCTTTACTAACTCTGTTTTGAACTGAAAGCCAATTAAAAATTAAGCCAGAGGGTGCTATTATCCTTCAAAAAGATAGATAGGTAAAAAAATTTGGAACGAACAACTCTTAATTATGAAATGACTCACTAAATAGCATTTTTTTTCCCCGAGAGGAAACTGCAATGGGAAAAGGGACTGAGCCTTCCTGCCTCTTCCACTGTGAGCTCTGGCCTTTTGTCTGGAGAAAAGGTAAAAGATTTTGAAGCTCAGAGATGTTGGAAATTCCCAGGCTGGCAGCCCAGACAGCTGTAGCCGGGGCCACAGCAGACCTGCGAGGCCTGAGGGGAGCAGGTGGCGGGGTCCCTTGGCCCGCCCCTCCCACACACTGTGCACAGGCAGCTGTCGTCCCAGGCCTGGCGGGCTGGACTTGGTCAAGCACGGGTGAGGGTCAGGGGAGAGAGCCAAGGCAGACCTCAGCCTTGGACCTGGAGAAGGACCTGCATGCCCTGCCACCTCACTTCCAAGGCAGCAAGCATCCGGGGCACCTGCTGAGAAATCAGGAGCCTCCAACCAAGAACACACCAACACACCAAGTAGGTCAAAGGGAGCACCAACTGGCTCCAAATGCCAAGTGGCCATTCGAGAAGATGAGACCAAAGACAGCCCAAGGTCTGATCAGGGCTTCGGCAGAGCAAAGCAACAACTGTGGTGGGAGGGGTAGGGGACACACCAAACACCAGCCCCTCCCCACCAGTCCCCTTACAAGACTCAGGCAGGCAGAGCCGGGAGGAGGGTTTGGTCAGTGTCTGGTAAAGGAGGGCAAGGGCTTGGACGAGGGCTGTGGCTATGAGGATAGAGAGGACAGGCCAGGATCCAGTGGCAGTGGGTGATAGAGCCAGCAGGGCTCAGTCTGTGAGGTGGACACTGGTGAGGGACAGGAGGCTGCCGGCTTGGGTGGTGAATGTTGACAGTTTCCAGTTCCCGAGTTGGAACCCTGGGAGCAGGCATCCTGGCTGCCCGTCCACACCTTCCCCTGGAACCACCGAAGGTCCTCCGGGAAAGCAGTAGTGACAGGCAGAGTCATGTGGAGAACGAAGGAGAAGGTGGGCCACCTCTGCTGTCTTTGTGAGCAGAAGACAGGGACACAGAGGGCACAGGGTGAGGAGGGGCTGGGACCGGGACGCTGAGCCACTCTGCTGTCAGGCCCACAGAGCCCGTCGGACCCTGTGGAGGCAAGAGTGGTGCTGGCCAAGGAAACAGCAGTGGAACAGGACTCGGAGGGGGTGGGCCAGGGGCCATGCTGGCCATGGAGAAGCAGATGCCCTGGGGTCCGGGAAGGCAAAAACCACGCAGCTCCTGAGAGATTTAGGTCAGAACCCAGACGCTCACCCACAGCCAGCACGTGACGCTCACCCACAGCAGCACGTCACTCCGGTCTGGGCTGCATCAGCACTGCCCCGGGCCTGGCCCAGGGGCAGCTGAGAGGAGCTGTCGGGAACGTCTGTGCTCAGAACCGAGACAGCTTTCCCTCCACTCTGTGCACATCCTGCTTAATGAGGAAACTCCAGGGGGGCTCTCGGGAATAAGGGTCCTCTAGGCTGTGCCCGCTCAGCAGTCCAAGGGGGTTCACAGTCCCTCAGTGTTGGGGCACCCCACCCAACTGGCAGTGAGCCAGGGCCTAGCAGTCCCTCTGCTGAAGGTCCCCAGCCCTGTAGTGATGCCTCAGTGCCCCCTCCCCACCCAGGCCAGCCAGGCCAGCTGTCCTCCAGCGAGCTAGCTGCTGGACCTCGGGCTTGGGAAGTGGCAGTGTGGGAACTAGAAGGTCACATGAGCATCTCACAAGGCTGCTGTTTGTCTTGCTAAGGGCTGTCCCTCCTTGCATGTTGGAATGTACAGTGGCCTTATCACATCAGGCAGCTCCCACGGAGGCCTTGCCCAAGGCAAAACGGGTGCCACACAGACCGTGGCAACACCACGCCCTCCTCCCCTGTCCATCCTCGGCCAGCAGTGGTCTGCACTTCTCACTCCCTGCCTGCCACCAGCCATGTAAGGCTCTGCGCAGAGCCCCAAGGGCTCAGCTGGTTGATGGTGTGCAGGAGCAGGGGCTTTGGCTTGGCCATCTCCTGCCTGACATGACAGCAGGGGACATGTCCATTTGTCAAGATGAGCCAATCACAGACCCCAAGGCAGGCCACAGAAGGGGACACAGCCAGCTATGTCCAAGGCAACCAAGGAAAGGCTCCCTTGGTGGTCCTGAGCAGGGTAGAATGGAGAAGGGGAGGGTCAGAAGCAGGCCCCAGGGCCAGGGCTGGTCCATAAAGGCCTCCCAGCTTTGAGACAACACTGGGCCTCCTACCTGCTTCCACCCGGCTCTGCACAGTGCCCGGCCTCCTTCCCCAGAGCAGGGGCTGCAGAGAGACAGACCCCAACCCAACACTCCCTCCAACTTCCCTGCAGGCAAGAAGAGCATCTCCATAAGCAGTCCCCAGGGGAGCCAGGCCCACCCAGGGGAAAGCACAAACCCAAAAGCTGTGGCTTTGACCAGCTAACATCGGCACCCCAACACCAGTGCCCCCACAAAGGGGTGGGGCATGGATACTTCCTGGCTGGGCTAGAGCCCGGGAAGTGGGACATAGCCTGCCCCACCGTGAGAAAACCTTCTGCCTTCCCCTGGACACAGGGCACAGTCCTCAACCTCCAGTGAGGGTCACAGACTGAAGGCAGGTGGGGCCTCAGGGTCTTCCTACCTGAGCAGAGGAGGTTGGCACCTTCCATCAGGGCTGTACCCAGAACAGCTGGGAACGGGGAGGCCAGGTCAGGGCCCCTGAGCCCAGCTGCCTCTGGGACCAGCCTCAGGGCAATGGTCAGCCAGTCCGAGGCAGTGGGCACCATTAGCCCATCCACTGTGCCAGTCAGTTCTCTGAGGGGAAGCTCAGGCCAGGGCACGGCATGGAAAAAACCCTGCAGCGGTAGTTATGTGGGGGCAGCCCTGAGGCGGCTGCAGACCCGGCTCTCTGCAGCTCTCTCTGGCTCCCATTCTCCCTGTGCCCCCCATGACCCCAGTTCTCTTACCTCTACCAGGTGGGGTGTCGGGTTGAAGCCACATAGGTTGCACACCTGGAGCTTGCAGGTGGTGCAGGTGTTATAGTTGGCTGGGCCCTTGCTGCCCATGTTGAGCTCGGCTTGGCACAGTGGGCAGGTGGCCTTTTCCTTGGGCATGGTCTTTGGCTTGGCAGCAGCCTTGGACACTGCCTGGTGCTCTGCTTTGCCGTGCTTTGAACTGGTCACTCCCCCAGTCCTCGCCAGGGCTCCAGGCCCTGGTGCAGGGCCTGTTCTGGCTGCAGGTTCAGTTTTGGCTCCAGGTGTGGGCCCAGGCCCAGGTCTTGGGCCAGCCTCCTTGCTGGCATCACTGAAGACGATCTTCGGCGTCCCCTTGCTGGGGCTGGGCTGGCCCTGGGGGTCGGCCTCAGGCTGCACAGACATGAGGGTACTTGCCTGGGTCAGCAGTGATGCCCCGAGGCCGAAGAGCTTCCCAGTGAGGCCCTCCTGAGTCTGCTCAGCAGCACCAGGCCCAGCGGGCACTGTGGTGGCACTTTTGGCCAGGGTCTCTCCTGCAGGTGGCCTGGGCTCAGCTGTGGAAGGCTTGACGGGGTGAGGGGGCTGAGGAGACACCCTCCCCACCTCTGGAGGGGCAGGTGCTGGGGCGAGCCCCGGCACTGAGGTGGCCCTGGCTGTCTCAGTCTGGCGGGGGCCAGGCTGTGGTCCCCCTGGGCCCCGTGATCTCTCTTGCTCCGGCTTCCCCAGGGGCTGTTTGGCTGGGGAGTGGGCAGGAGACAGGACTGGGGAGTGCAGCTGCTGCTGGCTCTTGGAGCGAGGCGCAGTGGTCATGTCCATCCCCAGAGCCCTCTGCATCTGGCAGTTCAGACAGAGCCACTCCTGCACCTGGGGAGGAAGCAGCAGGGTCAGCAGGACTGGCGGCACCCACAGCGCAGCCAGGGTCAGCTCCCAGCACAGGCAGGAGCACCAGCCCGCTCAGGTGCTTCTGGGTTGCTGGGGCCTGACTGAGAGGGCCGATGGCATGGCCGTGCCAGCTAGGAGCCTCCAGGCTTGTGAGGCAGAGCAGGGGCAGCCATACCCTCGCCCTCCCTCCCCACAGCCACCAGCCCACTGCTGGCCACACCCTCCCACTCCGGAGTCCTCCCAACCACCCACCGGCTGTATCTCAGCTCCGTGGACATTGTCCCAGCCCAAATCCCGCCTCACCCACCCATGCCACTGTCTTCCTGGCCCAGCGACCCCATAGCCTCCAACTGGTCACTCAGCTTCCCCCCACTACCCCCTCAGGCCATCACCACACAGCAGCCAGAGACAAGTGAGGAGGGAAGGCGAGCCCTGGCAGTGCCTGGTGGGATAGGTATTCAGGGAGAACTGGCAGGAAAAACAAGCTTGTGAAGAGGGTGCAAGAGCGGGGCACAGGGAATAAAAGAAAAGAGGGTTCCTGTGCTGGAGGAGCAGAGTCTAGCTGAGGAGACAAGAGACACACAAAATCCTGAGAGCAAAGGAATACAATGTAATACAATGGAAGCAGAAAGAAATAAGCCTTTTTTGTTCCCTACGGAGGACAAATTTTTGAAGAAAATGGGGAAATTTATGCCTCCAGAACTAACAAGACATGTGTTGCTATTCATGCAACAGACATGCAGTTTCACCCCATCACCAACCCCTCCCTCGGCAAAGTGGGCGCGAGACTCAAGTGGGCCAATAGGTGGTTGGGCTGGTGGTGCAGAGCGGGCATGTGGCCTGGTGGGCAGTGGGGCAGAGCCCAGCCCTGCTCATACGCGAAGAGCAGCAGCAGCAGCAGCAGCAGCAGCAGCGAGAGCCCCTGTTCCTTCCTGATCACTAGCCAGAGGGACACTGCCCTGGCCAGTCGGCGGCCTCCTCTCCCAGCATGCTGGGAGACACCGAGATACAGGCCACAGGCAGAAGCAGGGCCGAGACGAAGGGAAAGGGGCGGAGCTGACCACTTCATTTACTTCTCCGGATGCAGCTATGCTTTAAGTCTACACTTGGACTTCCAGTTACATGAACCAATAATATGTTTCTTTCCTCCAAAAAATCCACACATAAGCCAGAGCATATACTTACAGGCTCAAAACCCCCTTGTGGCTTCCTGTCTCGCTTCCTGTGGGGATTCTCTACCATGGCCCACGAGGCCCCAACCTGCCTGGCCTGCCCTTTTGTCTGGCCTTCTCTCCTGCCATCTCGCCTGAGCTGTTTCACCCCGAAAAGCTGGGCCCCTGTCCTGCCGAACAGTGCTCTGGGCCAGCTCCTGCACGGGCCTTTGCACTCACTGTCTCCTCTGCCCCCAGGGGCAGCCACTTGCATAGGTGTCGGGTTGAGGGTCACGTCCCTATCAGAGCCCTCCCCTGGCCACACAATCTAAATACCACCGGGGTGGTCTGTAGCTAACCACCCAGTTTATTTTCTTCACAGGACTCATTCTTTCCCGAAGTAGCCGACTGGTGTGTTTCCTTGGTGTTTTCTGCCTCCCCATGCCCCATGGAGATGCCCCCAGCCCTGTGCACAGGGCGTGGCACAGACCAGGGCTCACTCCAGGCTAGCTTGCTCTGGGATTCATCCTGGTGACCTGTTAATGGGGGCACAGCTCCCACCAGGCTTCAGCCAGGAGGCTGGAGAGTCGGTGCCTTGGTAAGGAGGCTCCCCCCACCCCTCCATCAGCACCAAGGCTGAAGGCCAAGGTTGCTCCTATCTATCATTGCAGCCAGAGGCTTGCAAAGCACCATGGCAGCTCAGTCACGGAGGAACAGTCCAGTCTGACCCCTGGGGCACAGAGTCCCCTCCACCCACCCTCAGGGATGCCTCCAGCCCTGCCCTCTTGAGGCCACAAGGCTGTGTGACTGCTGCGCTGTGGTTGAGTTGCCAGCAGGGGAGCCTGGCCTCAGCTGCCTGCCTAGCAGACGAGGAGAGGCACCCAAAGAGGGGGAGAAACCGCACTTGGTTGAGCATCCACTTGTACCCAGCACCACACAGGGTGTGTTCACAGGCATCCTCTCATTTTGTCTTCGCAGCAGAGAAAACTAAGGTCTGATGGGGTTTGGTGACATGCTCCTGTGGTCACCCAGCTGGCAAGTGGTGCTGCCAGGGAGACAGCCCCACAGCCCTGCCCGGCTTGTGTGCTGGGGTCTGGAGCCTGGTGCCTCTTCCAAGGGCCACACAAACTCACCAGGTCAGGTCAGGAGTCTAGAAGTTGCCCCTGCAGAACTCTGGCCGGGCCATCAAAGACCGAGCCCAGCTCTGGAAACCGAAGAACAGTGAGGCCGAAGCACTAGCTGGGAGTGGGCTATGCCACCCACCCCAGGAACTGTTAACTCACCCAAGAGTGTTTAAGACCCAAGGAAGTTTTGTCTACATTTGGACAGAGGAAACAATTTGTGTCCTCGGGACTCAATCTGAAGACCCCTTAGAAATGTCATTCTTGGCGGGGTCGGGGGAGGCTTGTTCCCATCAAACAGAGAGCTCCCAAGGATAAGCTGTGTCTGCTCACCCTCAGAGGTTCCCTGGAAGGTGGTTACCCTCCTGAGGGGAGACCCAGGCTCTGGTTCAGGTGGCAGCCACAAACTCAGTTCCTGGGGTGGGTGCCAGCCCACACCCAAAGCCCATGAGTGTGGTGGGACTCCCCAGGAAGCGGGATCTGGAGGGACCCTCCCTTGGGTTCCGGACAGGGCTAAACAAGTGGGCGGGGGCTCGTGCTAGCACGCCTGCACTCTCCGCCAGGACCTTCCTCCACCAGCCCCCGCCAAGCAGGCTGTCAACAGGCATCTCACCTAAAATAGAACCTCTCCAAGAAAAGGACGAAATGCCCCTCAGTGACTCACCACCCAGATGGGTGCAGCTATTTCCATCCCGCCTCTTCCAGACAGCGAGGAGCCCAGACCGCACCCTCTCCTGGCCCCTCCCAGGTCCAGGCTCCGGCAGACAGACCCAACACGCAAGGCATCCCATGGAGGATACTGGCTAGGGGAGCTCCCCAAACCCAGCAAGACTTCCCTCTCTGCCTCCTCACAGATCGCCAGGAACTTGCTGGAGGGGCTCCTCCTCATTCTCTTCCTCCATTCTCAGAAGCCCCCACCCCTGTGCCAGGGGGATGGAGGCTGCCCACTGGGCAGGGAGAGAGATGGCCGCACACCTCCAGCCCACCTGCCCACTGAGGCCAGGCCTGTGGCAGACCCTCAGCCCTGGGACCAGTGGCAGTGAGTCTCCCTCAATTGCACGCAGTGCTCGTGGCTCCTTGGCGTCCCCCAAGCTGCTGCCCACAAGATGGAGAGGGAATAGCCTCCTTCAGGTGTGACAAGAACCCTCCTGTAGCTCCTGCTATCCACAAACCTGACCTGGCACACGGCCAGGAGGCGGGCAGGCCACCACCCACAGATCTCCTGTCCTAAGAGCCAGAGGCAGAGCCAGGGTGACCTTGTCATGTGGACCCTTCTTGCCAGCAAGGATGCCATCTTGGAGGGCAGGTGGGGGCCTCCATGGACACCCATGGGCCTCAGCCCAATAGGGCCCTGGGCAGCAGCAGGGATGGGAAGGCTCCGGGTAGTGTGCAGGCCAAGCGGTGGTTTGGGGTGGGGGAAGCAGAAGCTGCAGGAACGTGGCTTCCCATAGGGAGCTACTGCCCACCTGCCAGGAGCCTGCTGAGTATTCGGAAAGGCAGAGCCCTGTGGGTTGTGGCTCTGAAGGGACGTTCTCCCCAGGAAGAGCCCCTCTCAGCTGCTCCCTCACTTGGACTGTTCAACATGCAGAAGGGCAGCTAGGGTAGCACTGCCCACCGAGGCCAGGGAATCACACGGTGAATGAGCAGACAGCCGTGATCTGTCTGCAGTGGCCACGCCCCGCTGCTCCCTCCACCAGGCTCTGGGGCAGGAAGGAGAATGGGGGTGAGTTTTTAGGAGGGGCTTCAACATCTTCCCCACAGGGATACTGGTGACACAGAAGCTTGTCACCCTGTGTTTTAACCTCAGAGGGTGGGATCACACTTTGCTTTGTCACTCCTGGCCCCAAAGGATACTGCCCAGGGTACCTGCTTCTACATGGGGCGGGGCCTATCTCACTGCCACCTCCATGGCTGCCGGGAAGCTCTGGGGGCCCCCAGCAGCGGCAGGCTCTCTTTCTGGCCCGTGAGGCTCTCCGCCCCTCTCCAAGGCAGAGGCTGCCGACGTCACCGAGCCTGCCTTCCTGCAGGGAGCGGTGCTCCCGCTGAGGCCCAGCCCTCCCCAGGACGGCAGGCACTCGGTGTGTCAGACCACTCTGCGCTGACGTCGTGCCCGATGCCGCATCCATGCTTGTTTCCATTTTGGTACAAGTGGAAACATCACAGAAACAGCTTATAAATGAGCCCTCCCTGCTGGTGCCAAATCCAGAGGTTCCTGGGGGGGCCCCCGCCAGCCAGCGTGACTGCATGCTCTTCTGGGCTGTGAGTCACTAGCTGGGACGAGAGGTACTTATCCCACTGAGGCCCCTGGACAAGGGTGAGCTGGAGAAGAGAAGTCAGGCCCCACCCGGAGTCCAGCTTCTCCAAGTCTGCCAACAATCTGCTTCACCTGTCAGCTGGCTGGCCTCAGGCTAAGGGACAGGCACCACAGCGCCCTCTAGTGCACGGCACACTGACCCAGGGCTGGGTCAGCTAGGCCTGGCCCACAGTGAAGGCCTGTACTGGTCTCATCAGGTCAAGACCCTAGGAGAGGCCCTGGAAACCTGCCCAGCATCTGAGACTGGGATCTGGGGAGTGGAGCTGCACGAGGGGGGAGAATCTGCCCTGCTGCTAGTCTGCAGGCACACTGGCCCCTCCTCCTGATATCCCCCATCCCTGCCCTAGCAGCCCTCCCCACTGTCCCATACACTGTGCCCCATAAATCCTCCTGCCT